TGAAGTCGTTCCGGTGGTGATGTTTGGTCTCCCCACTTGTCTCACCTACTGCTCACCCTGGATTTAGACTTGTCTTGCCTCAGAGGGCAGAACTTCATTCAAAGAATTCTACTCCCCTCGCCACTATTACCTGCAGGCCAGGCCACCACCGTCTGGCCCCTGGCCATAGCATTTGCCTTCTCATAGACCTGTCATGCCTGCTTGTGCCCTGTGAACCATCATCCACATGGCAGCAAGTGACATTTTAAAAACATATCTTAGATCACATCACATACAATCACTCATGCTTTTTTTCCTGCTGTTTGATGATGCCAAGTTCTTTCCCACAGAGGAGCATTTGCGTTTTATTCTTCTCTCTCCTCCTTCACTGGACTAACTTCTATGTTTCTTTTGGTCCTCAATCCAGACATCTCTTCTTCTGAGTCATTCTCTGCCTTTTCTTTTCTTTTCTTTTCTTTTCTTTTCTTTTCTTTTCTTTTCTTTTCTTTTCTTTTCTTTTCTTTTCTTTTCTTTTCTTTTCTTTTCTTTTCTTTTCGAGAGGTTTTTGCAATAGGGCACTTATGCTCACCAGAAAGAGAAGAGAGAAGACAGAGAGACAGAAAGTGAGAAATCACCCTCTGGGGGGATGGTCATGCTGTAATCCCTTCTCCTCCAGTCTCCTCTCAGGATCTTGGACATGCACGCACACGTGCCTGGTGTGTGTTTAAGCCATGGGTCCTGGACTCGAATGGCAGTTGACTACATGAGAGTCCAGCGACATAGCCATTATGCCAACTGTTGGTCCCATTCTCTGCCTTTTCTACTTAAAGTTTGTCTTTCCCATTATTTGTCCTCATAGTGTCCTATGCTTTTTCTTCTGGCATGTATTAAAATGTGTAATTATAGATTTATTCACTCTCCAGACTGTAAGCTCCATGCGGGCAGGCCCTATCAGATTAATCATTTACATCTGCTGTCTGGTAACGTGCTATACCACAGGTGCTCATCAAATATTTATTGAATGAATCTGCAATCACTTAGCTTCAATATAACAACTCAAACAGGTAGAGGCTGGAGCTTAGATACTTTAGGAAAGAGTCAGGAGAAAGTCCCTTGACATAACCATTTTTACCTGCTGAATTACATCAGGACCAAGGTCTGAGATTTAGGCTTAAATTCTATCTACCTTAGAGTTTAGACAGAAAGAAACATGGCTGGTAGGCCAGAATGGATTTTATACAGTCAAAACCAAAAGGAGGAACAACAGGATTCCTGAGAAATCACCCTGAGACAAGATTTCTGAACCTCAGTGCGTTTGTCACTTGTGGAGGGGTAATTCTTTGATATGGGGTTGCTCTGTGTATCATAGAAGGCTAAAAGCATCCCTGGCCTCTACCAGTTAAATTTCAATAGCAAATTTCCCCAACTGAGACAACCAAAAATACCTCTAGACATGATCAAATGGACCGGGGGAGGGGGGCAAAATTATTCCCACTTGAGGACAATGGCCCCAAGAGAAGAAGTGACACAGGAAATGGATCCTGAGATAGGCCCGAATGCTAGAAAGGAGACCCAGTTTGAGATGGAGGGAGGTAGCTGATGTCAGCATTATCCTGTTTCTATTGCTCTGTGGACTTGGGTGAATCCTGGAAAGCAGGTGTCGGTCAGTAATGATTATGGTGCTGTGGGTCTGAGCATTCTTATGAGAATCTTCCCTGCCAGCTAAGCATAACGCTGAAGGGGGCCCTTCCTCCTGGCTTTAAGGGGACAGTGGTTTTTGTCTCATTCAGCAGGTGTGAGAGGCATGCGATGAAAACAGTGTGAACAACGGTCTAAAAGTAGGTCAGGGCTGGACTACGATGGCCATAAATGCTGGCCAAGGAGTTTGCATTTTACTCCATTGGAAATGGGGCTGTCTGTGGAAGGTTTGGGGCAAAGATAGGACACAGTCATTTTCTGACTCCAAATTTGTTTCTTTCTCCTTTGACCTCTTCTCTCCCACCCCCCACAGTCTAACTCTCCATTGCATCCTGGTCAGAGCCAGTTTTCCTCTTGCCCCTTTACTTTCTCTTTCCTGTCTCTGGTGCATTCTGCTCATTGCTCCCTTCTAGTGTGCATTCTTCCTGGTGTCAATTTCCTACTGAGTTTTGGCAGGAAAGAAATACTTAAGAATTATTTTCTGCCAGAAAAAGTCACTTCAGAAAGTGAATTGGTGAGCTTTGTAGCTTCTAGCAAAGGCCAGGGCGTCCAGATTGGGAGGTTGGCATATACCCAGACTCACGATCTGCTCTCTGGTTCAGCCTTGGTGAGAACACACAGCTTCTGAGTTCTCATTACTGTGTTAGTTCCTCATGCCTCCCAGGGCAGTGTTCCTGAAAGAGTAGGAAGAAGCTCCGGAAGTAAAAAAGCTTCCACCAATTGTCTGGTCTGATCACTCTGCAGAGTTACTTAACCAGGAAAAGG